CGGTTGGCCCTGGAGCCATGATTTACATGGCTCCTGAAGCACTCACTTCAAATCAAACAGTCAAGGTTAGTTATGACTTGCTTAAAGTTTGCCATCTTTCAATTAAGTAACGTGTACACATACACATCTATGATAAAAAAGGTGAAGGAACAAATCGAGTGATTCACGAGATGAATTGCAAAATGAATTAGAATTGCACTAAAATAAAAGAAGATACTTTGACATTAGCGGAGAGTATTTCACAACTTTGTGTTCGTGAAATGACTAGAAGACTCTTAATAGCACCCCTGAGATCTTGGCAAGATGGTGATCTAAAAGCGAACGTAGAATGCAACAGATTGAAAAATTAGGGATGTTCTTCCGGGAAATGTGAACCTTCAAATAGGTGTTACCGTTGTAGTATGTGTTTTTCACAAATGATAAGTACATGATCTTAATGGCAGTTAGCAAAAACCTTGCATTATCTGAACAAGAGCAACCAGCTTTATTTGCATACAGTGCAGCGAAAGCTTTAGTAAACTAAAACAGTAATGATTATCGTAAACATATATAGCAATCGTATCAATCAAGTTACATCGATTCGATTTGAAAGACGAATATTGCACAGATCAAAGCAAGATGAAATGAATTTTGCTAATTGAATATTAAGATAATGATTTGTAGAAGTCTTAAGTTCGCCATTGGCTTGTAACGAAGATAATTGTTTAAAAGAAAACACAGAGTAACTGAGTAGTTTTGTACTCTGATAACAAATGACTGTTCATACATCTTACCTCGCTGCCGTTAGATATCTTCATGTGTTATGGTATATATAAACAATAGCGTCCATTTGGCGTGAAAATATGCTCGAATATTTGTCCGCGGACATTATCTGTTCCGAGAAGCGAACAGTTTTCCTGTGAGCTTTGAGGAACAGATAATGTCCAAGGACAAATGTTCGAGCATATTTTCGCGCGAAATTTAGGCTACTGTGTTTAATATCCTTCAAATCTTTTTCGCATTACACGCGGTTTTAAAAATTGGGGAATATCACTCGGATATTCCCCAGTTTTGGCTGGGGAATATTCAGTCACGTGACGCGTTTAGACCAATCGAGCGTGAGCGGAAATATTTGGTGGATTATAAATATATCTTATTAGTTGTTTTGATATGTAATATCGCTGTACATTTTTACGAGTTGTGCCGTATACAAACGAGTAAAAATATACAGCAATACTACATATCAAAACATCTAATAAGAGATTTATTATCCAACTGCTGTAGTCAATAGATTAGGGAGTTTTAGCAATAGGGAGTTTTAGCAATGACGACGGCGACGGCGGGGACGACGCCTTGTAAAAAGTGAATTTATATTTTACCTTCGAATGTCGCAACTCTGTAAATCCGTTTAGCAAGCCTATCGGTCTAAAAACTTGCTCAGGCTAAACATGCACCGAGAGCGTTTAATTCCAAAAGAAGATACGAAAAATTAGCCATTGCGGTTCGCGTTTTCCAAAATACGTTTAACTTGGTCATTTCACGTTGTTGTTTTGCAGAGGACGGCAAAGAAAAGTACTAAGATTCAAAATGCACGTGCACAGCCATTGTTTTGCTCATTAAACCTTTTGTTTGGCGACGCTCTCGTCGCCGTCGCCGTCGTGGTTTGCTAAAACTCCCTATTTATCAGCGAAAGAGGGAGAGTGTGACAGTTTTGCCTGCGCTCCCCGACCTGTCCGGCAAACAGGTTTTCTACTGTACAAATAACTGTACAATATCGCTGTATATTTGTACTGTTATATTTGGACGGTATTCGCTACAGTTGGATAGTAAATATAATCTTATCTTATTAGATGTTTTGATGTGTAGTATCGATGTTTATTTTTTCTCAAGGATCTGAGCTGGCCGGAATCCTAAATCCTCGAATTTAATTGGCTAATCATACGCACGTGACCGGTCCAGCTTTTTACGAT